TGAGAACTTCTAGCAGGTGACTATGTATTTTCACAGAGTTAGCAAATATTTGGCAAGGTAGTGAGTATTTAATTTCTTCCTAAGGACTTCTTCAATGTGGAATCTAAAGTTGAAGCCAGGCACACTAAACCCTGTGGCACCTCTGACCTTGACTTTGTCTGACACACAGCCTGGTTTCCAGTACTGACTATGAATCTGGGGCTGTCTAGGTGCATTTTATGTGTCCATTGTCCCATGGTATTGCACACACTTTCTTTACTGATCTTCCTTGAAATTTCATTTTTATTAATTTTTTCTTTGCTTCTTCTACTCACCCTACTCCTTGGGTCTCATACCGCTCTTAACACAATCCATACATATATCCATTGTGTCAAACACATTTGTATATATATTGCCATCATCATTTTCAAAACATTTTCTACTTGAGCCTTTGAGCTCATTTTTTTCCTCCCTCCCTCCTTACACCGCCCTCCCTCCCTCATTAACCCTTGATAATTTATGAATTATTCTTTTTCATGTATTACACTGTTCACTGTCTCGCTTAACTCACTTTTTTGTTGTCCCACAGGGAGGGGGTTCTATGCCGATCATTGTGCTCAGTACCCCCTTATTCTCCCCCACCTTCTCCTTACCCTCCTGGTATCTCTACTCTCATTATTGATCCTGAGTGGTTTATCTGTCCTGGATTCCCTGTGTTTCGAGCTCTTATCTGTACCAGTGTTTATGCTCTGGTCTAGCCGGATTTGTAAGGTAGAAGTGAGGCATTGATTGCCCAGGGCGGGGGTGGCGGGGGAGGAAGCATTAAGGAAATAGAGGAAAGTTGTATGTTTCATCGGTGCTATACTGCACCCCAACTGGTTCATCTCTTCCTTGTGATCTTCTGTAAGGGGATGTCCAATTGTCTACAGATGGGTTTGGGTCTCCACTCTGCCCTCCCTCTCATTCCCATTGATATGACTTTTTGTTTTGGGTCTTTGATGCCTGATACCTGGTCCCATCGAGACCTCATGATCACACAGGCTGGTGTGCTTCCTCCATGTGGGTTTGGTTGCTTCTCAGTCACTTGCTTATCTTCAAGCCTTTAAGACCCCAGACACTATATCTTTTGATAGCCGGGCATGCTTGGTAAATTTCTACTCATCATTCCAGACTCTGTTTGAGAATCACTTCTTGAAAAATGCTTTTCGAAGGGCTACCAAGAAAATTATGTATTCCTTCCATCCTGTTCCATTACATCTTTTATTTGTCAGTAATTCAAATTTTTACCACATTGTCATGATTATTATATGTCTGTCTCTTTCCCAGGACTATAAATCCATCTGAGCCCCATCTCTGGAATGGAACAGGACATTATCTTTGTTAGAAATATTTTCCAACAAGATGAGTTTTGTTGACTACTCTTTCCAAGGGCAAATGGCTAGTTTATACCTTTACATTTCCTTCGTTGAATTACAACTTAGTTTTAATTGCTTTCTTGACATGTAGTCCCTTCAAATGAACAGTCCTATGCACAATGTGGGAGTTCAGACTTCTTAGATATCTAGTCTTTTCTAAAATTGGTTAGTGTTGTTACCCTTTCGGATCAAATGCGAATTCAATATTGTATTACAAGTCACTTATTATACCTTATCTTGTACAAATGCTCTGCTAATCTGTCTCTGTATTCTATTTGACCATTTGCTGGTAGGAGTACATCTCCTGTTCTTGATAACCCTGCAGCACTCAGCTCCCATTCAACTTCCTGGAAAAGGAATAGCCCAGACTCTAATTTAAGTAGAAAGAAATCTACCAATGAAAATTGTTGCTTCTTGCATGTTGTCTCGTGAAAATTTGTTTTCTCTCCTTTGCAGAACTAACGCTGCTCTTCTTTTTCTTTCCTTTCCTCTAATTTTGCACCTCTTCATTTTAATATGAATATATCAACTATTTTCCTTGATTGACTCATGAACAATCACCACTGTATATCATTACTTTTTATTGGTATGAATCTGATGGATAGGGGCCCTATTGGGTGTCAGAGTAGAGCTGTGCACACTGGGTCTTCAGGTTTTCCTTTGTTTGGAAGTCCAGCCCCAGGCTTTCCTCCGAGGTCCCTCTGGGTAGGCTCGAACCTCCATTACTTCCGACGGCAGCAAAGCTGGGTAACAATTTGCAGCACATGGGAACTCCTCTATTGATACACACTAACAAAACAGTGGTAGGCGAGTCAATTCCAACATGTGGTGACCCCGCGTGCGCAGAGTAGGGTCCTTTCTTCAAAGGTTTTGCTGGGTGAATTCAAACAGTCAACTTTCATATTCCTCGTTGAGAGCCTAGATATTTGTACCACTCAAATACAAACCAAGGCACACTCACTGCCATCAAGTCGGCTGAGACGGCTGAGATGGCTGAGACTCATGGAGACTCTGTGTGGTGTTTGTGGGACATGAAGCTTTAAGAGACGGGGCAGCTTCCTTTTCTGGTGGATTCGAACCACATACCTAACCACCCTTCCTAACTCACAGAACTCCCAGGGCCTCTTCTGTGTGATTCCTTGATGTCTTCATGGACACGGATTGTCATACATTCTTCAAATAATGGACATCCTGCCATGTCCGCATGCAGTTCTGCAATTGCTCATCGTTCGTGCCAGTCTCTGCATCACAAACCTGGTACGGCAGAACAAATAACCGTATAGAAAGTCACTAGAAGAGAGCGAAAAGCACACGGAATGGGTAATCCAAAACTTAGTTTTGAATGTTGTCACTTGTCACATATAGTTTCTGAAAAAGCGTATCTTGTATTACCATCATTTTTCCTTCCATCTGTAAAACGTGAACAAACACTCAGGGATGATGTGGGAAATAAATACTAATACACTTAAGTGAGAAACCATTCTATACCATTTGTTATACAGAGAAGGTGTTGCTTGCTATTTCTTCTTCCTCAAATCCTTCTGAGGATCTTCAGTACTGTGGGGACAGAGGGGACTTCCTCATCAGGAAATGGCTCCAGAGTGTTCTGGGTTAGGATAGCTGTGTTATAGTTTCTGAAGCTGGGTTTCAAATGGAGCAGGGGGTCATTCTGGTTCAATGCCCTGCTGAGAATTTGCATTTCCCACCTGAGGCTTTCATTACAAATGTAGAATCTGGATTCAGGATACTTGAGTTGGAAATGCAAATTCTCAGCAGGGAGTCGAACACACAGACACACAGAATGAGATCCGAAGCCCTATTTTAAAGTCCCATTCTTCACTTTGCTTCTCCAGTGGGATACACATGGGTACCATCCAATGCAATGTTTGGCGACCAAATTTTTCAACCTGCCCACTGTGTTCACTGCACAAGACCTCTGCTCGCGGCACTATTTTCGATTGCAGCTCACCCTGGAAATGCGCCTCTTCAGCGCTCTCCTTCAGCCCCGCCAAGTAGCTCCCTTACCTGGCACGCGCTTCTCCCTCGCCTGCAGCCCTTCCCAAGGGCTCCTCTGCCCCTCTGCTGGCTGCCAAGGAGAAGCACACGTATTGGCATCGCACCCAAACAGATGCTGGTCTCCTTCCCTCCCCCCTTCCTCTTCCAAGAGGTAAACCGTCCCCTGCCAACCACTGGGGGGCTGCCCGCATGCTCCCCCCACCCCCACCCTCCTGCTGCCTCACACTGCTGCAACTCCAGTCCTCCTTGGCAGCCCAGTCCTGCCCGCAGCCACGCTGCACCTCTGGCCATCAGCCGCCCCTCTCGCCCGTCCTCCCTCCCTCCGCAGCCACTTCGGTTGCCTTTCCTTAGGCGGCACCCTCTCCTTCCTTTTCCAGCCCTGCCCCTCTCTCTTCCTGCCAGTCTCTTTCCCGCTCTCACTAGAGGTCTGTTAACACCACAAGACCTTCTCTCCAGGGTCTCTGGGTCTATGTGTGTCCACCGACAGAACAACCTTGAAAAGTGAGCATTTTCATCCAGGGACCCCTACCCACCCCAGCCCGCCCCCAATCCCCTGGAGCCCAGGAGGGTGGAAGGACGGAAGAGACAACATGAAGCGGGCTCGGGGGATGGCGGGGAGGGGGCTCCCCTGATAAAGTTTGAGACACTCAAGACTTGCCATCTTGCGCCTTTGGAACTTGGCTAGCCCAGGAACCCCCTGGGAGCTTGCTTGCAGCGTGCAGGGCTGGGGCGGCCCTGGATCCCCAGCGCTCAGGTCTTCCCAGGGCCGCCTGATTAAGGAGGACAGGCCAGGGCTGCTCGCCGCTTGCTCCCGCCGGGGTCCACAGGCGGAGCCCCACCCAGGGCCCGGCCCTGGCAGGGACACACTTGTTCCTAGAGGTACAAGAGGGGTGGCTGAGATTGAAGGACGGAGGCGCCCCGAGCCCCCCACTACCTGCCTCGGGGATGGGCAATTGGGAAAGAGCTCCTCCCAAACCAGGGCCTTTCTGTCCAGCTGGCTCTCTGCGGTGAGGCGAGATCGGCTGGAGAAGCCGTCCGAGCGGTCTCCTTTAAGAAGCGCGCACTGGTGTGTCTACCTTGGTGTGTGTGCGTGTGTGCGCCTGTGACTGGTTCTCTACGTGTGCGCGCGCGCGCGCCCCTCGGATTGTG